AAGGGATTATTGGGCTAAGGTGTTAAACCAAATTCACAAGTCACAACACATATTTCATTTTTATAAATATTACATATATATATATATGTATATATATATATATATATAATTTTATAAAAAAATATACATTTGCGGGGGGTTGGCGGTTTGGGTTGGGTTACGTTATGCCAACCCAATTTCAACCCTTCTAATTAGCGGTTTGGCGGTTAGCGGATTGGCGGTTTAGCGGTTTGGCTGTTTGGGTTTAATCGGGGTTGTTAGCGGTTCGGGTTGGGCGGGTTTCGCGGGTTGGCGGTTTTTTGTTCACCCTACTCTTGTGACAACCGGACCACTTTAAAATATAGTTTATATTTTACGGCTCTTTCACAAAATCGTAATAGTAGCAATCTAAAATCAAATAATCGTGCTGATCAAAGTAAACGAAACAAAGACGCTGTCAAAGTCGTGTCGGTCTTTCTCTAGTTATCCGGGCGTCGTCACCGACGCAGACGCCGGTGGTTAACGTCTGTAACAAGCATTTGTATTTTCTTCCGACTTCCATACTCTCTTCCATATCCCTAAAAGTTCGTATATTCATCTCCCAGACAGTCTGTGAAGAGCTCATCATCAGGCTGCACTTGTAGAACAAGATCAAGTGCAAGAGAAAGGGGGAGCCTGGTCGGATCGATCAAAATTGGACGCATTAGTTCTTAGTTGATCGATTAAATGGCTTCTACGAATGGCCTGGTCCCCATTACCAGGGCTTTTCTTTCATCTTACTACGATAAATACCCATTTCCTCCCATTGTGTCTGACGTTTCTCGTCTTTCTGATGAGCTTCACAACATGTCCAACGAGCTTTGCAAGGGTTCTCCTTTTCTCCCTGAAGGTGATTTTCATTTCTTTTTACTCGTTTGTTGCTGTACAATGCCTTCGAATTGTTATTCCCAATTTAGTGTAAAATAAGCCAATTTTCATTACTTGCTGCTCTCCTTATCTTTATTTGTGAGATTTGGACTACGGGTTACTGTTGATGCGTCTTAGTCGGAGTTTGTCAGGGTGTTTTTTCTCTCAGTTTTTTCTTCTGTGAGTTTCACTTTTTTGCAGCTTAGGGAAAGGTATATTAGGTTTGATATACAGAGGATCTCGAATGGCATTCTTTGCGGTTGTTCTGTGGTTGGTGACACCAAGAATCCTCCTTTTTCTACTGTACAAGTTATGCTGCAAATTGGTGGAGTGATTATGATGTTCCTGTAAACAACTGCTAAGTTAACACTGTATGCATTTTAAGCTTTGGTATTCATTTGGCTTTGTGAAAGTTGCACCATAACCGAATGATCTACAAATTTTTGCTCCGACAGAGCATCTTCTGTAAAATATCCAAGTTCCAAATAGCTTATAGTTGAAGTTTATGGAGGAGAAGCATAGTTCACTTATTAGTTATGCATGGGAGTGATGTGTTAGATAGGTTGGAGAGTTGGCCATTGTTGTAGGACTTAGAACCATAGAGTGCATAAGAAACTTAAGTAGGTCATAATTTGGACGATTTACAATTTAGAGATCTTATATCCATTGTGTGTCCATGTGTAGATGCTGGTTGGTACTAAACAACTTATTATTAGTAACCACCTTGTGGGCGAATGGAGTAATGTTAGTTCATGTTGAGTGTGGAGTGTGATGTTACATGCTGTTTGTTTGACATGACGCTTGTGGGAGTCCGAGGATGTGATCTCCTTGGTCAGGTTTTCCAGAGGGAGCTGCCCTAGAAGGAAAATTCATTTTATGGCTCAGGCCCAAATAGAAGCTTTTGGCCCATTCTCCTCCTATAAATACATTTCCTTGTATTTGTAAAACCCTATAATTCTGATTTGTCAAAAATACTTCTATTAGGAGTTGGAAGCTTGGTGAATGGAGAAGCTTAACGGAAGCTCAATGGTAAATTCTGTAGGATGCGGTTAAACATGCTATGATTTATGAGGAATATTGAGCTATCAAAAGACGTTTAAATACAAGAAGTTTAGCAAAAATTGCAAATGTTTAGGGATACATCCCACCCAAGAAGTGATAAGATCAGAATTAGGATGTAAAGGAGAAGGTTCGTGTCACACTAATTGAGAAGATGCTTATGCAACATTATTTGAGGAAGTGCAAGTTCCAAGGTAGACCTTTAAATCACCAATTATTTTACCAAAAGGTCTTTAGGGAAGTTAGAGATCAGCAAGAAGTTGACATGCTTTTGTGTTACCTTCTGGATTTTAGTTGATTGCCTCACACGTTCTTTGTACGGGTTGTCGAAGGTGGTGAATCTATTAACCTTGTTGCATACCCATGCCAGTTTTCTAGGCTATTGTGACATCCAGATTTTTGTACCACAACTTAGAACTTTAGACCTGGTAGTCAATCTTTATCGTCTGTCACTTTGTTCGTCGCTGTAGTTTGTTTTCTACTGCTGTAACACACAATCACAACCTAATTAGTAAATTGCATGGTCTCTTTTCTTTTGCTATGGTAGATTGTATTAGATACCCGTGCTGCTAATATAGGTCACACTTGATCTTTTCTCTGGTTTGTTGTTTTGATCAACCCTGCTGCTGTTTTGGTTCATGATTTTTAGCTAGAAACACGGCATACACTGTTTTGCTGATCTATATTGATGATCTTGTAACCTTTGATGATGAGTCCCAAGGATGACAATTCTAAAGTTCTTTATTTGAGTAGCATTTCATATGAAGGGTTGAGAATCTCTGTTACTCCTTAGATAATTAGCTGGCTAGGTGTTGCAACAGCCCTTTTTTAGAGTGTCTTTGACACCTTGGTTGAAGTTGGCATGCTTTGAAACTTGGGAAGTTGATTCTTCAATGATCCTGGTGTCTAGCTTTATCCTTGCAATGGTCAAATTCTTAGTGCTCGAGAGAGGTTCTTTAGATTAGTTGGGAATCAATCTATGAAGGTGACTCGCATTGCATTTTTCAGCTAGTGCAGTGAGATGTCTAATTACATTGACAAGAAAGATGAACTGAATAATACTTTGCTGCATTTACTTTGATTATACAAGGCCTTATATATAGGTATTTACAGGAGATGAGGGAAACTAAATCAAGGAAAGATACAGTAAATATAACAACTAAGAAGGCAACTAAATCCCGTAATTATAGGGATTCCTCCTAATCTACAACCTGTACTCCTCGACACTCCCCCTGAAGCTGAGCAATATATGTCTTCCACTCCCAACATGGAAATAAGATCATGGAACTCGAACTGTTAAGGCCTTTTGTTAGGACACCAGCGGGTTGACATTTTGATGGCACAAAACACATGCACATTAATCCTCCTTCCGGTTTCTCTTTAATGGATGCCGATCAATTTCAATATTCTTTGTACTATCATGTTGAAGAGGATTATGAGAGCTTCATAGGACCTTCCCATTTGATCTGTGAATCATTCATAATAATCTTCAACCATAATAACTCACATGACATGTGAGCAATGGCCCTAAACTCTGATTCTGCAGATGACCTTGCCACCACATTCTGTTTCTTGCTTCTTCATGTCACCAAATTACCTCCAAGGAAAATGCAATATCCTGAGGTAGATCTATAATTCTATTTAGAACTAGCATAGTCAGCATTAATGTCGGCTTCGAGAGCAAGAGTTTCATAGATTGACACTCAATTATGTAGGCAGTGGACCTGTTCGCACTGTTTTCATTCTCGTTTTGATTGAAGTAGTAGAAATGATTTGCAATAACCATTCTTTCTAAGAAGCGTAAGGAACATCTCAAGATTTAAGACAAGAAAATATGTGTTTTTGTAGGGAGGCTATGCATCACCACTCAATTATATCTTAAGGTACATTAGTTATTGCCTTCTTGGCCATGTTGTGGGGAACAACTTATGTTTTGTTGGTTACAATAATGCTTGAGCTGTAGTTTGTTAAATGGTTGTGAGACTGATACAACTTGTCATATTCTATATTAGCGGAATTTGTACCTATACGGCTATACCTAAGATGATGGAACTTCTATATGATGTATGTGGTTAATGTTTGTTTGGTTCAGTTGCTTTCTCCTAAAATTTGCACCTTGTTGATAAAGTAGAAGATAAAAGCAGGTAACAAATTGTTCACTTTATACCTAAACTTGGATAAGGAGCTCATTATACTATGTGTACATTCTTCTATGCTAGAGCTATCCTTGTTCACAAGGAAGACCTTAAAAACTACGTAGTAATCAAAACTTGTTCTATCACTAAGATGTATGGATACCTAAAGCTACATGAGCTTTGCTCTACCGATACCAATGAATTTGTTATATAGTCGTATATATGCTTAGATGCATTAAGGGAAAAGCAACCACATTTAGTTACCAACATTTCTTTATTCTATTTGCAAATTGGAAACTTTGGTATGAAATATGAAGTCAATACTTAGTCTTGAATCACAGCACTTACAGAGTGGACGGTAAAGACCCTTTTTCTCTTTGTTCGTGGTTGTAGTTATGACATATGCCCTATATTAACTTTTCAAGGACATCGTTTTCCTTCTTTCTATAGGTTTAACATTAAGAATAACACTACCATCATGCTGGAAATCAGTTACTTGAAACCCATTCATAAATTACCTAAACAACACTTGCTTGAACTTGCACTTACCCTTATGGAAAATTAGATGTCTTTGTTGTTTGATGGTCAAGCTAGAGGCATTCCATTGAACAACTTGGTAGGTCCAACTATAGCCAAAATGCCATATTTAATGCTATACATGGATTTAGGAACATTTGTGTATCTACACCATTGGCATGCACAAGTCTACACCATTTTCAGATACTATCTAATAGGGATGTTGGTTTTTTAATTACAATGATACACATCGTCCAGATCATTCTTGAAAGTGTGCTTATTATCATTGACCGATTATAGAACACATTGATGAGCCTTGGCTCTAAACCCTAAAACCATAAGATGATAAAAGCAAAACTATAATTCTAGTGCCCATGACAACCATGACCCATCCACAAGTTGGACCATCACCTGTAGAGATGCACAAGGCCCGGGCCTTCCAAGCCAGTTTTTGGTAAGCAAGAAAAAGAGCACATGTTTTGGGTGTGAAAATAGGCCTGATAAGGCTTTTTCAGGCCTGGGCTTTTGAAAAAAACTTCGCCTGATCGGGTTCTTATGCTTTGACTGGGCCCGAGCTTCTGGCTTTTTGTGCGTCTGTAATCACCATCAATATGCCAACTTGTCACCAATCAATGCCTAAGATGCTCTTTGGAGTTTAGACTCACTAGGCGCTTAGTGTGATACTTTCTGGATGAAGAAGCTTATAGCAGTGATCTCATTTAGATCATCAACTGTGCCAACTATGTTGCCTACATACACGACCAACATAATCCTCCTGCCATTTCAAAAAGGAGAACCAAACCTTTTGGGGTCTGATTCACACTGTAGGTCACCTATGCTAACAATGGTGTCTACATGGAACACCAACATAATCCTTTTTGCCATTTTTTGAAGAGGAAACACTGAATTACGTACACTAATATGTATTTCAAGTCATCTCAAAGGTCTCTCTAAAGCTTGTGAAGAAACAGAAAAACCAAACCTGACAGGCCTAGTTCGGACTTAGAGTTGCATCCATGAAACAACCCACCATGTACTGACCAGTAGTAACAATCAAAATTCATGCTTTAACATACATCAACTTCCAATATTTATAGACGATTCAAGTCTATTCACAGATAACAACCCAACAGATGGATTAACAAAAATTTTCGTCATAACAAAACTTTAGTCTATAATTCCATTACATCTTTCCTTTGCCTTTATCCTTTGATGATTGATGACCTGCAAAATAAATTATTACAACAACTGAGGGTTCTGGAAACTCACTTACAACAGAAAGATCTGCTATCTTATTCTTTTCTTTACATCCCTTACAACAAGAAAACTGATACACCCCTTTTGTACATACTTTGGAGCCTGTAAAACGGAAATAAGGCTGGAATAACGATCTCGCTTGTCGCCGTAGATTATAACCGGTCCCTTCCCCGGTAAACCTATATGAATCTTTTCTTATTACAGATTACATTGGCTTGGTTTTTAGCCAACCAATCCATATCCACAATTATATCAAATTCTTTTAACGGTATAGGAAATAATTGGATGGGTACCTCACACCCTTCTACTGATATGGAGCAATTATCAAAAACTTCCTTAACCGACACTTTACTATCATTTGTTGTATCTACTATCAAAACTTCATCTAATACTTTAGGTTTTAGACACGTGCAACCAACAAATGATGGTGACACAAAAGAACGATTTGCACCGGAATCAAATAAGACTTTAACACATACTGAATTAACAATAAATGTACCTGTCACCACTTCAGGATGTTCTTCAGCCTCACTTCTCGTCATCTGAAAAGGCTCGTCCCCTAACCACTGCCTCTCCACGTCTTACTTCCCCACGACCGCTAGAAACATTTCGATTATCTATTGATCCCCGGTTGGTTAGATAATCCCTAGTATAACCAGAGCCCCGACCCCCAGACTAACCAGATCCTGTCCCCCAGCAGAACCAGATCCCCGTCCCTTAGCTTGCGGATAGTCTGCATTAATATGTTGGGAGGAATTACACGTAAAACATCTTCGTATCATTCGGCAATCTTTGGCTATATGACCTGATTCTTGATATTTGTAACATGTTCTTGTTTCATTGTTGCATTCCCCTTGATGTATTTTATGACATTGGGTACATGTTTTATCAACAAACCTTGACATTGGACGATTCAAATTTTCAATAAATCTAGGTTTACATAAATCAGTTGCTATTGCCTCTCCTTTCCTTTTCTCTCCAACCTTTTTGGGATTGACGATTGATATCCTGCTCCAAAATTTCTGCAGCGTCAACTGCTGCTTGAAATGTAACCGGGTTCCTAGAAATTACATATTTTCGGAGGTTAGACTCCAAGCCCCAAATATATTTTCTCACCTTGCTGCTTTTCGTAGCAACATAGGCTTCAGCAAATCGAGACTGCTCCATGAATACTTTAGTGTACTGACGAACCGTCATGTTACCTTGTTCTATCCGAAGAAAACCGTCCTCTAGCTTTCGAACAACAGCTTCAGGACAATACTGAACTTTAAATCTGGCTACAAATTCTTCCCATGACATTGTTTCTAGAATGTTCGGATCTGAACTCATCATGATTTCCCACCAATACAATGCACTTGACCACAATCTTGATACCACAAACATTACTTTATCCTCTTTCGCCCTTTTACTAGTCTTTAGACTTGATTCGAATTCCTAAAGTCAACACATGGCCTTAACAGGATCACGCTATTCAGAAAACTTAGGAGGCTTGCATGCAAGAAACATCTTGATATCGCCTCCCTTTTGTACCGAAGATGAAGTATGTGGTGCAGATGTAGTCGTTACCAGTGTACTTGCTCCGGCTACTTCATGAAAATCCGGGTTCCCCATTCCTTCCGGATTATACTGAGTGGAACGCCCTAGTAGAGTTACCAGATTATCTTGAAAATTTTCCAGTTCAGCTGCTAACATTTCCTGAGTAATAAACCCAGGGTTGTGAGCACGACCTCTGCCTCTCGTTCTGCCCCGTCTATGACCTGACATTGAGCTTCCTTGTACCGACATTTCCTGTTCTGTATGAATTTCTTGTTTAATACCTCTTCCTCGACCCCGACCTCGGCTTCTTGTTTCTATGGTTGTAGCAATCTCTGGATTTTCTTCAGTGTTCAAAATTCTTCTTCCCTTGCCTCTTCCATGGCCCGTAGAAGTTCTCCGAAAATGATTAGGATTATCTGCCATTCTTACTTAATACTTGCAACACCTTAACTTCCTTCACTGTCACAATAAACATGTATACAATTAATCACATACCGAAGTATGATAATATGCTTACGTTTAAATCAGGCATCTGAAGCTCAAGATTACATTAATCTCATTTAATCTAAATCTACCATGCTTATCATCACATTAGGTCTAATTATAACACATTCCCAGGTTCAAAATCCCTGTGGAACCTATTATTACATACTTAACGCCTTTAGTTTAAGTCTAAGTATCAGGAAAATACCCAGATCTCTTAAACTAAGGCTCTGATACCAAATGAAACAACCCACCATGTACTAACCAGTACTGACAATCAAAATTCATGCTTTAACATACATCAGGTTCCAATATTTAAAACGAGTCAAGTCTATTCACATATAACAACCCCAACAGTATTAACAAAAAAATTCGTCATAACAAAACTTTCGTCCATAATTCCTTACCTCTTTCCTTTGCCTTTATCCTTTGATGATTGATGACCTGCAAAATAAATTATTACAACAACTGAGGGTTAGATCAAAGGGTCTAGTGAGTGAATTTCCCTCTTGTAATTAAAATTTGCTGTAATACTCTAATACAATTCAGACCTGATTTTTAATGATAAATTACCAATCATCTATAGCGGTTACACCGCCATTTCATCTATCACAGTTAAAACATTCTTATCGAACAATGCTGTAAGCAATGAGGGTTAATCCGGACAACACTTTGATCGGTGAAGGTTCAATCCGAACAACACTTAACCGGTGAGGGTCCTTATTGGACAACACTTGATGGTTGAGGGTTCAATCCGGACAACACTTGATCGGTGAGGGTTCAATCTGGACAACACTTGATCGGTGAGGGTCCAATCCGGACAACACTTGATCGGTGAGGTGATTGGTGAGGGTCCCTTATTGGACAACACTTGATCGGTGAGGGTCCTTATCGGACAACACTTGATCAGTGAGGGTACTTATCGGACAACACTGAGCGATAAAGGGTCCTTATCGGATAATACTTTTGATCGATGAGGGTCCTTACTGGAGGATGAAGGGTCTTATCGGATAACACTTTGATCGGTGATGGTCCTTACCGGACAACGCTTTGGTCGATGAGGGTTCAATCCGGACAACACTTGATCGGTGAGGGTTCAATCCAGACAACACTTGATCCGTGAGGGTCCAATCCGGACAAAACTTGATCGTTGAGGGTCCAATTCGGACAACATTTGATCGGTGAGGGTCCTTATCGGACAACACTTGATCGGTGAGGGTTCTTATTTGACAACACTGAGCGATGAAGGATCTTATCGGATAACACTTTGATTGATGATGGTCCTTACCGGATAACACTGAGCGATGAAGGGTCTTATCGGATAACACTTTGATTGATGAGGGTCCTTACCGGACAACACTGAGCGATGAAGGGTCTTATCGGATTACACTTTGATCGATGAGGGTCCTTACTGGACAACGCTTTGGTCGATGAGGGTTCAATTCGTGCGATAAAAGGGGCTCACCTGATGAGGCTTGGAGCGATGAGGTTCCATAACAGATTTAATAACACCATAACACAATAATTCTATATGAAAGGTAAATACTCATAACTTATCAAAACATGTAAAACTCACCTTCAATCGAAAACCTTCCTGAATACCTTAATTCTTCTCCTTATTCAATCCAATTTTTGCCAGAGTTACTTTTCCAAAACTAGTAACAAAACCTTTTTCCAATTCCTCTTACTATATATATAGTAAGTGTAGTGAAAGCATGGCTAGTAAAAAGGAAGGCGGTGCATGTACATGCACATGCACATGCACGCCCTTCCCCCACCCCTTCATACTTCTCCATAACCTTATTGGACCAAATTTGTTTTTGACACAAGGAGGTGACCCAAGTTCCAATACTGGTCCCTCTACTTTCAGTAAATGTTACCTCTTACCTTTGAACTTTCCATTGTTATTTATTTTCGAACCCCAACCAGTTATAACTTAACACCAATTATTATAATCCCTAGGCTGCTCATCAAAGGCCTAACACTAAGCCTCAAAATTAGAAACTATAATCCTTGTTTTAGTTCTCCATATGGGCTGAGGCCCACACACTTGGTGTAGTGGAACAGTGCCAACTGCCTCTTCAACTTCCTTAGTCGGCAGATAATGATCTTCAAATATAGGTCCACATAAGCTTGCCTTTACTATTTGGGTCACATGGCTTTGCAATGCAGATTATAGCGTAGACAACCATGTAATTGATCCAATTGCTAGCGTTAGCTCATTATCATGCCTGGTCATCCTTCAAGTCCTTTGCCACAGTGGTCCTTGCTCACATCATATCACCTTGGAAGTGATCTCTGCAATTAGGGTTTATGTGGGGGGCAGTTACTATAATTTTTCCCCGACAGTTATCCTGGCTATTAAATGGATTGCGTGATAGTAAATACATTTTTTCAGTAGCTGCCCTGTTCTCTAATGACAAACTTATGAATTGATACATTTCAGGAGAAAGATTATTGCTACAAGAAGCGGAGTCCCAGCCACCACACAAAATGGATGAGAACATGTGGAAGAACCGGGAGCAGATCGAAGAAATCATTTTCTTGCTTGAAAGCTCTCATTGGCCAAAATCTGTGAGATCCATTTTTTTCCAATTCCTATCTCACACATTAGATTTTGGGATAAAGACACGTTGCATCGTTAATATTCTTTAGTTTGATGAATTTAGTACTTCACCAAAATATATCTTAGTTACGTACACCTTAAAACCCTAACATAACAATCTGTTCAGTCAAGTTACATTAGTCTTCCTGGATTGCCTTGCATGTTGACCTCTATACCTAGAATGCTACATCTTCAGTTATAGGTCCATATGTTCTTTTTGCTTTATTGATCTGGATTTAAGAACTGCATATTTTAGAAGTATGGAATTGTATATATGTTGGATACTTGTGTATCCTATTAGGGATATATCTATATATGTGTGTGTGCTTCAGTTTTCAAAACATCTCTCATCTTGTTGTCACAGTGCTATTTATACGGTTTATACCTGAGAACAAAAACTAAAATTTTGTACTTTGTTGCTCTTGGCAGCTTCAACAACAGTCCACACCAGAAGACATTGAGCTTGCTCAAGTTCTTAAACAGCTGAAAGAAAAGTTTGAAGTCGCATTAAAGCTGGTGGAATCGTTTCAAACAAAAAATTCTAGTAATGTGTTCAACACAGGTTAGTTTGAGGACCATTAAAAGCTTTATATACCTACATCATATGGAAACCCCTCTGCAGGGGATGATTAATATGATCTATTTAATCTGAACGTCCATCCTGCATAGGAAGTTAAAATCTATTGCATGAAAGAACCCTGATGATTTTTCATTGATGTACACTGGGCTATGATATTCTTACTGAATTGCGTTTTGCTCCTTAGTCATGTCAGACAGTCAAAGAGCATTATATGCATCGGTAGGCATGCTTCTTAACAGTTTGTGCATTACAACGTGTTGATGATTATTAGTCATAGGTCAGAAAATTGAATGAGGCTCCCCCACTGTAGGCTGTAGGTTCCAGCTTTTCAGGGTGTATGCATGTTCAAGTGAAGACAAAAGAAGATCCAATCAAACAAGCATAGGCATTTTATTTTGTCTGATGTCATGGCCTTGGAAATCATGGATCATAAAGACATGCTTCCCTGGTTTGGTCATTTATTACTTTGACACGGAAACAGTAACAGAAAAATTCTCAATACTCTATTCTAAAAAAAGGGTAGACTCCACTCTCTTGAGGCGCTACCACCACACTGGTCCCATGATCATCATGGGGAAGGTAAATCAGCGCATGCATCCCATTGGCAGAGGAGTGGTGCCCGGGCTCGAACTTGGGACTTCACTCATATGGATTACATGCACACCTCTACCCACGCCAATATTCAAGAAAATCACACAGATGGTAGTGTCAGACTTAGATTAGTAAGAGTGTTGTAATATATCATAGAAGCCACAACCATGATATATAACTCAAATAGAATCATAATCAATTATCCTCATCACTCATCTATCATGGCCTTGTATTATTGGATTTCTAGTTTGAGTTTATAAGTCCATATTATTGTGCCTCACTTTAATGTGTGTGGGCAGTAACTATTTGATCCAACTGCCTACCAGTTTTTTTGAAGCTATACTGCGCAATTATATCATGGCATGTGAAAAATAAACTGAACCCTTTTGATGAAGATGAAATTATATGGCCTTACAGTTACTTATCCTTTTAGAGAATGAGATATATCATGGCTCCAGAACCCTTATCTTTATACAACAGTCTGAAAAGTCTTGTTTAGTGACACCCTCTTTAACATACTCCCTAGCTTGGTGTATTCATCTCAGCATTAGGTGTAACAAAAATGAAAAGCTATATGGTAAGAGCTAAAAATTCAAAATTACACCTGTAGGAATCGATCTAGGACCAGACGATGGAATTTATACATATTAGGACGTGTGAGAATACTCTCCTTAGGACAATTAATAGCCCCCACTGAAATGCTGTTGGGTTAGATGTCTATATTACCCCTAAGCTTCCCTAATCTAGAATGGAAAGAACAATGTTTCATTCTCAAGAACATCTGGAAATTGGTGCGGAACAAAGGAGGTTATTTGTTTGTAAGTTAAAATGCAGATATATATAGCAGAGAAAATGACAGTTAAAAAGTTATAACCGTCAACCAACCTTATCTACTGGAAAAGTCACTAGCCAAGTGCCAAGTCTTTGATTGTATATATATGTGTATCTGTGTATATGTCTGTATCTACACTGTTACAGCGGTCAAAATACAAAATAACGCAGGACTGATATTTGAAATAGCGGTTATGCAGTGGTATAGCGGTCCAAAAATAGCGATTCATATAATATTTCTTAGAACTATATATATAATATATATGTATGCATGTATAAAATATTATATGCATTAATTAAAAATATAGTTTCAACATCAAAAGATCAACTTAAACAAGTTTCACAAAACAAAATAGGAAAAATGTTCATAAACGATGATAGAAAACTCGAACCGTGTCGAAGAAGGTTGACTGTTGATGATGATAAAAAGAAATTGAAAACCTAAGATTCTAAGAATTTCTAAACCAGATGCTGGATCATATTTGTTGATTGTTAATGGATTAAAATAAAATAAGGGCCCAAATCAAATAAAAGCCCAAAAAAAGACAAAAAATTAAGCATTAGATTCAAAAGAGGCCCAACTGAGAATATTGGTATTGCGGACTGCTATTTACCTCAAATATCGGTGCAATAGCAGTAAACTGCACCGCTGTTGCACCGCTGTTGGTGTGTGTGTATGTATACATATACATATATGTAATTTCAGAGAAAATATGTTACTCTCATTGAAAAGCAATAGGGGTATTTATACAGCTTAGAGACCTAGCTAGAATCCCATAATTTAAGGGATTTGATAACATACAAGGAAACTTACCAAACTATACAAATATCTACCAAATTTGTTAAAAAAGGAAAAATAATCCCAAGAAATCAGGGATTATATTCATCGTATCAATTCCACACTCCCCCTTAAGTTGGTGCATATATATCATACATGCCCAACTTGTCTATAAGACGATTGAATGCCGGTCTAAATAGTCCTTTGGTTAAGATATCTGTTGTTTGCTCTTTGGAAGGGATGAATGCAAGGCAGATAGTCCCATTGTCCAACTTTTCCCTTATGAAATGTCGGTCCACTTCAATGTGTTTTGTCCTGTCATGTTGGACTGGATTTTGTGAGATGCTAATGGCTGCTTTATTATCACAAAACAACTTCATAGGTAGCTCAACCTTTAAACGTAAGTCAGCAAAGACCCTTTTGATTCAGATTATTTCACATATGCCATCTGCCATTGATATGAATTCAACTTCTGCACTGCTTCTGGATACAACACTTTGTTTCTTGCTTCTCCACGTGACAAGATCTCCCCATACATAAGTACAATATCCCTATGTAGATCTTCTGCTCATGTTTGGGTCTGCCCAACTTGCATCAGTGAAGGCTCCAATGGTTCGGTTGTCTCCTTTTTTAAAGAGTAGTCCTTTGCCTGGACAACTTCTTCATGTTCTTCATAAGGACAATGCATAAATTGGCTCACCATGCTAAATGCAAAAGCAATGTTTGGCCGTGTATGTGATAGGTAAATCAACCTTCCAACCAACCGTTGGTATTGATGAATATCAACCTGCTCAACTTGCTTCCCATTAGTAATGCCATCCAACCTTTTGTTAGGGTCAATTGGAGTATCTATTGGTCGGCATGCACTCGTTCCAGTATCTTGTAAAAGATCCAGAACATATCTCCTTTGTGACAATACAATGCCCTTACTTGACCTTGCAACTTCCATACCTAGAAAGTATTTCATTTCTCCAAGGTCCTTTACTTCAAACTCTTTAACAAGTCGATCCTTCATTCTTTCCATCTCCTCATGATCATTACTAGTGACGAGTATGTCATCTACATAAACTATTAAGGTTGTAATTTTACCTTTTGAGGAAAATAGAGTGAATAGAGTATGATCAGATTGAGCCTGTTTGTATCCGTGACTTTTGACTACTTGAGTGAAATGTGCAAACCATGCCCTTGGGGATTGTTTGAGCCCATACAAAGCTTTCTCTAATTTGCACACTTTTGTGCCAAAGTTACTTTCAAACCATGCTGGTGGCAACATATAAACTTCTTCTAGTTTGCCATTCAAGAAGGCATTTTTCACATCAAATTGCCTAATTGGCCAATCGAGATTTGCTGCTATTGAAAGTAGAATCCTTATGGTATTTAACTTTGCAACTGGAGCAAATGTTTCTGTATAATCAATGCCATAGGTTTGTGAAACCTTTGGCTACTAGCCTTGCTTTATATCTTTCAAGGGTTCCATCAGCATTAAATTTTGGAGTAAATACCTACTTAAAACCAACTGTGGGAGTACCTTTCGGAAGATCTTCAACACACCACGTCTGATTCTTCTCAAGAGCACTCAATTCCTCTAGAACAGCCTTTTTCCACTCTGGACTTTTAAGGGATTCCTGTATAGTGTTAGGAATTTGAACTTTGGACACATTTGAAGTGAAAGCAGAGTATTTTGGTGAGAGTTTTGAGCAAGACATGTAATTGGACATAGGATATTTAACACATGTACGTTTTTCTTTTCTCAAGGCTATTGGAACATTCAGGTCACATAACTTACCAAGAGATGGTTCCTTCCTCGGTTCGAAATCAGGAGCTGAGATTGTGTTGAACTCTTTGTTTGGAGGGAATCTTCGCTCATACACTTTTCCAAACTGTTTTTTTCTTTTTCACTACAATCCTTTGAGTAACTTGTTGAGGTTCAAATGGTACTTCAGTTTCTTCAGGAGGAATGTTATGTTTACTTTCTCGATCTAGTGGTGGTTCTATTGGAACATCTACATTTTCCTCATGTTCAAAGATTGGACAATCTTTGGGATTTGAGTCAAATGCAGATGGCTCAAATGTAGTTCGAAATACTAGATCTGAAAAATTTAACTCTTCTTTTTTATTCTCCCCCTGAAGACGAGATTTAAAGAAAGGAATATTTTCAAAAAACTTTAACATCCATGGTAACAAACATTTTTCCCGTGTTTGGATGAAAACATTAAAATCCCTTTTTATGTGGTGCGATTCCTACAAAAACACATTTGAGGGCTTTGTGGTCTAATTTGCCAATGTTGATATTGGTGTTCTTAATAAACACAGTACAACCAAAAACTTTTAAAGGCATGGAACAAAATAATCGTGAATTTGGAAAAGAACTTTCTAAAACAGATATGGGTGTTTGAAACTTTAAAGCTTTAGACGACATTTGGTTCGTTAGATATGTAGCATGCAGAAGAGCATCTCCCTATAAATATTTTGGTATTTCAGTTGAAAATAGTAAAGCCTGGGTGATTTCAAGCAGATGCCTATTTTTTCTTTCGGCTAGCTAATGCACAAATCTCACATTGAAAGGATGAGGGATTTTTATTACCAAATAACATAGGAAACAAATGTTTTAAATAAAAGAAACTTGGATGTCCAAGCCTAAAGTGCCATAAATAAATCTCATTATTACTCAAATTAGATGCGGTGAAGAAGCAAGAAGTCTTCTTATTAGAGTGGATTCCCTCATCTAATATGTAGAGTCCACCACATTCATCAGCACGTCCAATCATCCTCCCCGAGTCCAGTCCTGAAAAATGCAAATGGAAGGAAAGAACAAAGCACGACAATTGAGGTCAGTAGCGAGTTTATGAACAGAGATGAGATTACAAGAGAGTTTTGGAACATGTAGGACATTAGAAAGAATGAAGTCCGATGATATCTTTATATCACCAACTCCTGCTATTGTAAAAAAAGTGCCATCAACAATTTGCACTTTTCTATTTCCAGTACAAGGCATATAAGAATTGAAGAGATTCGAACAAGAAGTCATGTGATCAGATGCCCCTGAATCAATGATCTAGGCTGATGTATTTTGTAAGCACGTATGAGAAGATGAATAGTTAGACGAAGGGGTGTTTTTACGAGATTGCACATAGCCACATGATGGGTCAGCAGAAGAAGACATAGGTCTGGTTTTAAGTAATTTTAGGAGCTGCTCCATTTGATCCTTTGTGAATTGAGACTGTCCTGGTTGGATTTGAGTGTTTTGAGTCGTTCCAACTGTGGTGTGTAGGGATCTTTCAGACTTACTCTTCTAGCCGATAGGCTTGCCATGAAGCTTCCCACACTTGTCCAGAGTGTGCCAAAACCTCTAACAATGGTCACAATAAGGTTTCTTTTTTGTATCACCCCCTTGTTCTATGCCACGGACAAGTAGGGTTGCTGTGTCCCTGACATCAGTAGGTTGGATCCCATTCGTCATTACTTTTCTTCAGCTTTCTTCAAGTCTTATTTTGAAAAACTTCTCGGATGGATGGAAGAGGCTTTCGGCCAATAATTCTTCCTTTAACTTCATCGAGACTTGGGTGAACACCAGCCAGGAACATGAACACATGGTCATTCTCCTTTTTCTTCTTCTGTAGAGTACAATTTACAGAACTCTCCCACACATCATCATGGCATTGGTCCAATTCTTGCCATAATGCTACCATCTCATTATAGTAAGAGGTAACATCACGGTTATCTTGTTTGGCTTGCCACAGATGTGTTTTAATCTCAAAGATCTGGGAAAAATTCTCCAAGTCTGAATATGTCACTCAAGCAGAGTCCCACACTTCCTTGGCGGTTTTCATGAACATATGTGGCTTAGCAATGGACATGTCCATTGAATTGAGTAGCCACATAGTTACTAAAGAATTCTCAGATCACCATTTACAGTATCCTGGATCAGATGGGACCGGTTTTGAAGTTTCACCGGTCAGGAAGCCCAACTTACCTCGACCATCAATGGCGAATTTCACAGATTGTTACCATTCTAGATAGTTTTTCCCATTCAAACGATGCACAATGATTTGCATCAGTGATTGAGAGTAGTCAACTACTGGTGTTGATCGATCGGTAGATGTGACAGTGGAGTTTGATTCGGACTCTGGCATGTTGAACCTCGGTTATTGGTTCTGATTATTAACAGCAAATAAGTTGTTAAAACAGATACCATTGTAGCTCTCATGTAAGAAAATATGTTGTTATTCTGATTGAAAAACAAAAGGGGTATTTATACAGCTTAGAGACCTAACTAGAACCCCATAATTTAAGGGATTTGATAACATACAAGGAAACTTACCAAACTATACAAATATCTACCAAATCTGTTACAAAAGGAAAAATAATCCCAATAAATCAGGGATTATATTTACTGTATCAATTCCCCAGATAAAAATAGCAAAAAGGACACATATCAAAGTCTCTTATTTGCCAACTCATGTTTGTTTGCTACTACTTCAGCATAACATTCATCACGATATTGTTTCAAAAGGTATAAGCATATGCAGCTAGCCTGTCTGCAGTAACATTAGAATGCCTGTAAACATCTGTAATAGGACTGACCGGATACTTAAATCACTAATCTAAGTATTTTACTTAGTCACTTATCTTGATGTTTTCATAAATTGGCAGTGATAGTATCCCTTTCGTGGATCCTCCTTGAAATATATCTATATTCGAGTCACCTCATCTAGTGTTGGTGTGAGGACTATCCCCCTTAATATATATCAATATTCGAGTCACCTCATTAGATCGCTGAATATTCCTTGGTACCTCCCCGCATCATTAGGCTTCCCCTTCTCAACTAGCTTGCTATCAAGCATCTCTGTCCCATCAAGAAGATGACAGTAGGCTAGTAGTGCCCTATATAGGGTTGAATGAACAAAAAAGAGTAATGTTGTTGTCCGAAGTTATTTGCACAGAGAATGGACTGAGCAATCTGTTCTCTTTATATGCATTATGTGCCTCCAAAAATTGTCATGTGTTCAATTGTGTCCTGGGAATTAATTAACATTTCTTGAAATTTAAATTATTGCACTGATCAGATAAATAAAAATGTCAAACTAACGTTTGAAACAAAAGTTCAACAGTTGCCCACTTGCCCTAAATTCTACGCAACAATGAAGACACACATATCATGACCATGTTGGATGTGAATAACTTTCTGAAATATCATTAGCTTCCATAGAAGTGAAAGCTAATTGAAAATGAAATATTCCAAGTTATTTGCGACTTCCGGAAAAGTGAAGTGAAAAATTATTCATGAATGAGAGAACTTCTTCATAGATATATTATTCATTTATAATGCTACCGGACAATTACTCTTTTAGTCTGATTACACCAATTTGACAAGCCAATTGATACTAGTTGGCCCCTAAGTTCTGTTGTGGTATTTGGTGCTATACTAGCCTGCAATAATTACATATGTACCAAAGGGCCTTTGGCCTAGCGGTATCGTAGCCCTTGGCCTTCTAGGAGGTCAGGGGTTCAAACCTCACCATAGGTGAGGAGGGTGTGTGAGTTTATTTGTTGCATTTGTCGTATATAAATATTATATACTTCAAAAAAAAATAATAATAATTGCATATGCATTTAGATTCCATGCTCAACGAGGGTAGTTTATCGTAAACTACCTCTACGTTCAGTCATTCAGGCTGACACTTGATTTTTTATTTATTTGTGATGCTGATGATCTTTTTGGGTGCATATGTAGTTATGACCTACATGCCACAAGATTTCCGAGGTACACTAATTAGACAACAAAGAGAGCGCTCAGAGAGAAATAAGCAAGCTGAAGTTGATGTTTTGGTAAACTCTGGTGGCAATATACGTGATCGATATGCTCTGCTTTGGAAGCAACAAATGGAAAGGTAATACCTTGTTCCTAATTACTAGTCCTGAGATGGTAGTTGAAAGATCTTATTTTGTCACTCCCTGATCTAGTCAACTCGGTTGATAATTACTGTAGGCTAGTAGCCTGAAAGTTACCATTCTTATGTCTTCACTGATAATAAATTTGTGTCCAGGAGAAGACAGTTATCTCAGCTTGGTTCTGCAACAGGTGTCTACAAGACTCTTGTGAAATATTTAGTGGGAGTGCCACAGGTATATCCTTGGTTATTTGTAGGTATATGAGGATATATCCTTTCATACAATATCTTCATTGAGTTATACATTATGATTAATAAATGTAGTTGAAATCTGTATATACACATGTAAAAATAATTGTCGGCTCTACGTAAGGTTCTTTAGCTTGGGTACTGCTATAACTTTCATATATGAGCTATGCTCCTTTTACTTGCTGCAGGTTCTACTGGATTTTATTCGGCAGATAAATGATGATCATGGGTATTTTCCTTTCCTACAAAGTGTAATGACCGTACAAAATTTGGTTCAAGTGTGTTCTCTACTAGACCAATAATAGAAGACAAAAAGGCTATCTAATTTTTTACTAGGTTAAGCTGAATGGCATTATATGTCTAGGCCCATGGAGGAACAGCGTCAGCGTTATGGACCTCCTCTGTATGCCCTGACAAAAATGGTGCTCAACATTCACCTTTTTCTTTCGTTGTCTTGGTGGCGCTTTGAGGATATTAAACTGTGAGCATGGCCAAGTTTTTTGGATTTTATTCTTTGTTTCTTATGCAAGCAGTTGCATTTATTCCTATGACGTACTTGTGATTTGTTTTTATCTTTTTCTTGTTTGTTTGTGGCAATTTCTATTGATTAGGCAGAAGCATCAAATGTCCATCTTGGAAGAAGCAGTTCAAGTCTATGTTTCCGAGTTGGACAGATTTCTGAAATTCATCGGGTACCGACTCTTTTCCTTTTTTATACCAGGTGATAGTAATGTGTCTATGATCTCTGCATGTTTAGTTAACATCTTCATAGTTCATTTGTTTCTTCTTTATAGTGTCTATTGGGCTTGGTTTGATAAAGTGAGGCATATTGGTGTTTCATTAGGTTAGAGAGGCTTAAGTTTTTTGCTCATAAATATCACTCTTTTGCGTTGTTTTTCATAGAGAACACTATTTCTTACTAAAAGAAATCTCAGAAAGGACTACCTTTTCATCTCAGAGAATGCAAAGCACTAAATCCATTAAATATTTTCCATTTGCATGACCAGTAGAATGGTTTAACAGAAGCTGGAGTTTGATGTAAACAAAGGATGCTTGTTTTGATTTAGTTTACACGACAACATTCTACAGTTTACATATTATTCTCTTGGGAGAGTTCATTTTCAGCTCCAATTCTGGTGTCTTCATACTTAAGCAATTGTTTTCTTTCCTTCTTTCCTTTCTCTGGCTCATATATTTGTCTATGCCAGAGCATGTTTCCGTGTTGCACAGTTGGTCGCTTGGATTAGTTTCCATGAGACAGTTATCATGGTAGTCTGTTAACGTGGGTTTGTAAGCTGTTTTGACATGGATCTTCTGGAAGTTCATGTAGAATTCTTCTTGCTATCCTTTTCATTTGAATCTTTCTATTTTTCAACTTAAGAGTTTTCTTTTGTATCCTGACCAGGCTCAACTCTTGGTCATACGGAGGTGAACACAAGAGAGTTGATCACTTTTGCATTTTATGTTAAAGAAGATGTCGTACCATTAATGCAATGGCTTTCTGTTTGTATCATTGGTCCTATTTTAGTGTGTCATTAAGGGTGTGGGTGCAGGAAAAGAAGATAGATCAGGAGAATGGGATGTTTCTAGATAGCTATAATGTACAGATGTTAACAAGGAAACTCAGGTGAGCTAGACAAAATTTCATGTGAAGTAAGTGCATATTGGAGTCGTCTGGAAACTAAAGTAGGAATGTGAAAAAATAAAAAAAGTATGAAGATCAAGAGCATGGTCTTGGGTTTTATGTAAATGGTATTGGAACGATAGGAACAGGAACTGGTTAGGTGTTTATAGTCAGTGATCTAGAAACTGGCCTCCGGCACTTTGTTGTGTGCCTAGGCATAGGTTGGGGCTTTCACAACTCACATAACTTTTAAGCGTTGGGCAAAGGGTCTTGTCTAAATTAAGTGGTAGTCAAGCGGTCTAAATTGTGATTAAATGGTCTAAGGGGTAATTTACTAAACCTCTTACCACCTCTTACCAGTAAGAAGCTCTGATCTGATTAAGAGGTAGTGTTTACCAAAAAACAAAAATAAAGCTCTGACCGCCAACAATGCTCTGACTGTGCTCTGACCAGAGATAGAGATGGAGGTGTATCTGTCTAGAGACAGAAATTAACTTTCCTTGTTTACCCCTTACACCAAAGAAGCACCCCACTCGATTTTGGAAAAAACGCCTCAGATCACATGCCTCTTCCTCTATTTATCAACAATTTAGGGCAACTCAAAGACTGGACGACAAAGATGATAGGATTTCCTAGAGTTTTTCTGGACAAGGAGAAAGTCATGTGGTTTTTGGAACTAGGCTCAGGGTCGTTTTGGCTACTTTAAAGGAGATGAGCAAGGTTTTAAAAAGGGGAATCAAGCGTCGAGGCGCTTTCCCTGGACGAGGCGAGGCATAAGCCTCAAGGAGGTCTGAGGCAAAAGCCCCGAGGAGGAAAGTAAAATAAAATTATATATATATATATATATCAATATATATCTAATAATAGTATATTGATCTAAAAAATATACTAATAGTTGTAATTAATTCTAGAAGATTTTATATTTATTACTTCATAAAAAACTGAACAATATATATACAAACAAAGAAAACCAAATTGGATGGTGGACAATAGACACAAAATGCTAAACATAATTATATATTGGGAAAATTGCATCAAAATGGAACAAACTTTGACCTAATTCTTGTTTTAGGGAACCAACTATTAAAATCATCATTTTAGGGTCTAAGCCAAACTTTTCTTATATTTGAGGGCCTGGATTACTTGGTAACCTGATAATCATGACATGTTTGAGGTAAAAGCCAACTAGATGTCATGTCATTTAGAATATAAAAACATTTTGGTCATCTTTCATTCTTTTAATAAATTGTACTAGTGTGTAAGCATATGCACAAGGTGTTAAAAGCATCAAAAAAATTTCTCTCCAACATTGCCTTCTCCGGCTACTCTCTCAGACACTAACCTTCTCCTGCAAACTGTTCCCCCTCCTTTCTAGCCTTCTCTGACAACAGCATTCACACAAAACCCCATCCCTTGTTCATATTCTCCAACCACCACATCTTCACCGGATAATAAGACTTTGCAGGTTTTTTTTTTGTTTACTTCTTTTTCAAATTTTATGTTAAAGGTCACTCATGGATCATCAAAACAAGCTAACGAATCTTGCAAACAAAGGAGAACTTAAGCCCTAAAAAACCCAATCAGATCCAAGGCATTAAGCAACAAATAAGAACCAGATCTTATACGTGAATTCAACGCATTTTATAAATCCAAGAACCAAAATGTAATTCCTGGATGTGATAGGGATGGATGCTGTGGGTCAGCGGCTGGTGAAAAATAACTCGTCGAAGATGGAGACCCACTTGGTAAGGGGCGCCGGAGATGGAGACACTTGCTTGGAGGGTGTCGAAGAAGAACTTCATAGATGGAGACCCACTTTGAACATGAATGCATTAGTTAGGTGGAGAAAAAGAAATTGAGTATCAGTAGCAATACTCTTAACCGTTGAGTTAAGTAGGTCATTTATCTTCACAAAGAAAACGAAACGGGACTAATCCCATCGATGGATTATAAATATGATATTACTTAGAAGCAATACCGATTAATATGATCTTGGATCATGGAATAGTCATCTTGACAAGAAAATTCGAATGAATAAATAATCAAAAATATTGTTTCCCCATATCTCAATTGGTCAAATTCGAAGCACATATCTCTTTTCTATAAATGTCTGGAAGAATTTAAATAAATTTGTATCAAATTTGAACTAGTAACTAATCCCAACATGGAAGTACTGAAAAACTCATATAAGCAAAAAATCTTAAATATTCGTGATCATGAGACATATAATTATCACTATAAATAAGAACCAGAATTCCAACAGTAGTTATTAATATTGACATAATAGAAGTAAGTGGATCGATCAAGTATCCGAATTCTAAAGAAAAATCATTATTGATAATCCAAGACCATACATATTGATGGACAGAACTGCTATTTATTTGATGAATAGACAAATTCATGGAAAAAATCATGACTATACTTATCAATAAAACGCTCAGCCCACATGTTTCTCGAGAAGAGATAATACACATAAATTTCATATTAATTTAATTCCAACCTGAACCTGAGTCTTGCAGCTGTTGAATGCACTTTTATTCTTTCTCTTTCCTCCCTTATTCTAAAAAAGGGAAAAAAGAGAAAAGAGTTTGCCTTAGGATTAGTCAGTTCTATTTCTCGATGGGGGCAGAGAAGGGATATAACTCAGCAGTAGAGTGTCACCTTGACGTGGTGGAAGTCATCAGTTCGAGCCTGATTATCCCTAAACCCTATGTGAGTTTGTATATTTTGATTTGCTACCCCTCCGTGATTGGATGAGAATGGATAAGAGGCTCGTGGGATTGACGTGAGGGGGTAGGGGTGGCTATATTTCTGTGAGCGAACTCCGGGCGAATATGAAGCGCATGGATACAAGTTAGAAACAAAGGTTTGAAAGGAGGATTGAGGGAGAATGAAATGGAAGGATTGTGAGTTACGAGGAGGCAGCAGGCAGAGGTAAAAAAGGTAGGGTTTTGTTTGCTTTTTGACTTTGGAACATGATGAATTTAGTCTCCATTTGTTTTCTTTTGTATTTTTAATTGATGATGAGGTGGATTTTTTTTTAATATTCATATAAGCTTTTTCTAGTTGATGATTTTGCCACATCATATGGGGTAATCAGTTACCTACTAAATAGGTAAACCAGACCCTTTTATATATGAAAAGTTTGGCTCAGACCCCAAAATGATGATTTTAAAAGTATTTTCCTTAAAATAGGAATTAGGTCAAAGTTTGTTCCATTTGATGCAATTTTCCCTTATATATTAACCAACATAATACTATAAATAAATCATATCTCCTTACTCAAGTCTCTCACTTTAAAAACACACACATATACACATAAATTACACATTTATATTTTATACAAATTGGACAGGACAGAATATACATACATATACCGGAACATAATACATATATATTTTATACAAACTAGAAACATAATTCATAATATATGTGTATGTATATCTATTATATACCAACAAAGAAAATATATAAAATATATATACAAAATATATAATACTTGTACCTAGCATGTACGAGTTTCTAGTGCAGCTGGTACAAGTCGTCAATGCAGCAAGGAGGGTTTAAAGATTAAGTGGAAGAACCCGTGGTTTGACATATATTCTTGTTTCATGTAATAAAAACTGACACACCCACTAACCCATGTGTTATCACACACACACATCACATTAAGGAGAGGCTTACGGCTCAGCCCTGCCTCACCGCCTCATCCATGCAAGGTGCATGCTTCATCCGAGCATTGAGAGGTAATGCCTAAGGTTCTCTTTTTGACTGCCTCGCCTTAAGGTGTGCTCAAGGCGTAAGCCTCAACCATTCTTTAAAACTATGGAGATGAGTATTTTTATTAATTGCATTGCATTGCGATGTTGTGTGTATCTATCAGTTTGTCCTGAAAACAAAATGAGCAGGAAAGAAGCTTCCCAGATAGTGAACAAACATAAAAATGAAGGCATACCACTAAGGGTGCGTTTGGTATGCAGACAGGACAGGACAGAACAGGACATGACAGAACAACTGTTCAGCGTTTGGTAAGACATGCGCGTTTGGTAAGACATGACAGGACTGGACAGAACTGGTTAAAATGACCAATTTACCCCCAGTGAGCTGTTTAGTGTTTTTTTTCCACTAAATACGGTGTGCAAAGTATAACTTACATCAAACCACTACTAACAAAAATACATGATTTCATAATCAACTAATAATATATGAAAAAGGTAAATATAATATAAGCATCAAGAATTCATTATCGAAGCAAATCTATATGCATTCCATAATAAGAAGAAAAAACTACTACCAACAAATGCACAATCAATTAAAATGGATTAAATATCAAATAATAAATAAAATATAAGCATCAAGAAAACAATTTGGCTAGTGATCCCATATAGTATCATCACATTCACAAAACTTGGTTTTCAGAAAACAAATAATTCACCTATCATCTGTACAATCACTCCTGTAAGATCAAAGTCGAATATTTACTACTCTGATCAAGGGAAAACATACAAAACTCATCGAAAACAACAAATTGCATGCGTGAACCTTACGCAATACGTTTGACGGTGATAAAATCAAGAAAACAATTTATGTAATTTATTAAATTATAATAGAATAATTATTTTTTATAACAAAATATATCATTTGAAGTTTTCGTCAAAACAATTAAAATGACACCAAATAAAAAGTTTATGTGGTATTCTATTTTTATTTTTATCTCTTTTCTACATTATTTTTTATTATTAATATATAATAAATTACATAAATTAATAAAAGTATAGAAACCGTATAAAATTAATATTTTGAGGACAGTAAAATGAAAGTTTAAAAAACATAAAATACAATAAATAAAATTTAAAAAATGAATAAAATGTAAAAGTAAGACCTATTTGATGTTTTAGAAGAGAATTAAGTTTTATTTTGAGGTTATATTGGTAAAATATAAGTCTGTTCCACCTTGTTCCACCTTGTTCCAACCTGTTCCACCCTGTTCCATGGGGTAGGGGTGGAACAGGTCTGTTCCACTTTGTTCCACTCTGTTCCTGTCTGTTCCACATAAAATTCATGCCAAACATGGGACAGGGATCCCTGTCCTGTTCTATCTTGTCCCTGTCCAGTGTACCAAACGCACCCTAAAGGGTGCACTTGGTATACTGGACAGAACAGAACATGGATCACTATTCCATGTTTGGCTAGACCTTTAAGTGGAACAGACAGGAACAATGTGGAACAAAGTGGAACAGGCATGTTCCCATCCCACCCCATGGAACAAGGTGGAGCAAACCTATATTTTACCAATATAACCTCAAAATAAAACCCAATTCTCTTCTAAAACATCAAATACGCCTCCCTCTTTATATTTTATTCATTCTTTAAATTCTATTCTCTTTAAACTTTCACTTTATAGTTCTCAAAATATTATTTTTTATATGGTTTCTATATTTTGGTTAATTTATGTAATTTATTAAATATTAATAGTGATAAAATAATATAGAAAATATATAAAATTTTTTTGGGAACTACATAAACTTTTTATTTTGGTGTCATTTTAATCGTCTTGACAAAAACTTTTTAATGTATATTTTGTTATAAAATTATTTATTTTATGATAATTTAATAAATTACACAAATTAATCAAAATATATAAAAGATATAAACAACTCATTAGTGGTGAATTGGTCATTTTATATGTTCTGTCCTTTCCAGTTCTGTCTTACCAAACGTTGAACTTCTGTCCTGTTTTGTCTTGTTCTGTTCTGTTCTCCCTGTCTCACCCTAATGGAACATGAAGATACATATGGTGCTGAAAGATGAAGAGCATGGAAAGGAAAGAAGAAACACAAGCAGATCAAGGAAGGCGGCAATCAAGTTGACAGGAGCATTGATGGAATTGGTACCAAACGAGGCAGTAGGTGCTGCCGGACACACACCCTAGGGAAGTTGCAGGATGTGCAGGTGATCCTAGGAGGGCAGTAGAAGGGTAAGACAGGCCCTAGGAGCACAGCAGGAGGGTGATGCATTCCAAAGGGGAAGTTTAAGGTGAATGTGGTGCAGTACTATAGCAGCTGGTGGCTGTTGAATGCTTGATTTAGAGATGTGGGCTTTTGGTTCTGAAAGCCTTTGCTCTGCCACCATGTTTCTCGTGATGAAAGGGAGTTAATTAGAGTACACAAACAAGCGTTGGCTAAAAGTATAACATAAAAAAGGAAAATCTAAATGGCAGACATAAAAGGAAAAGAGTCATAACTAGCGAGGATTTACCCCTATTATTTCTATTGAAACTTCTCTTCATGATATCTATTGGGTTCCATTTTTAGCCTAACCCAAGTAATTCGCGATAAAAATCTTGTATGTCAGATGTGAAGTGTATCCAATACGTTCTGATGTTAAAAGTCATGGTGGTATTGTATTACTCCATGGATTTTGTATGTGTGTATCAGAAAGTTCAGAAGGGTAAATATAGGATTTGGTAGGAGTAGACTTGTATTTGTAAAACAATTACAGAAGACCTCTTTGTAACTAATATTGTTATGTGATAATATGAGCAGCATCATCTTACAAATGCACTTAAATATTGCTTTACTGCTTCCTGCTTAAAATCCTCATTTGAATTTTTTTCTTAACCTCCAAATCTTGGCTTGTTAAGAAAATCATTTATAGCTTTGTTCTTAATCTAAGCATTAGAGATTTGCACCTATAAATCATTCCAGGTTTTCTTCTTCTGATCCTCCAAATCGTTAATCCCCTATCTTCCTACATTCATGCAGTGTTCGTAGGGGGTCTATATGCTTCTTTGTCTTCAAAACCCTATAGCTAAGGTGACTAATAAAGAAACAGCTTTACTAACAAGAAAGAAAAGGAAATGAGAAAGCAGGAAGAAAGAAAACAAGAGGAGTAGAGTAACTCTATTTTCATATACTCCCTTTTAGATCCCTTTATATGAGATATCCTATAATCCAGTTTTTTTAGTTATAAAGGAAGACCATTAATGTAATTCTCTAAATAGGCTAATGGCTCATTGACAGGCAACTAGTTGTATATGATGCTTCATTAAGTTCCAGTTGTGACACCATATCTACTACGTGCTTTATACATGCACATTTTGGGCATTGATGATTACTTACACTATTGACATCCGTTTTACAGGGAAGTCTTTGCAAATTCTCCTTTTTTTGTTACTGCAGAGGAAGCTGGTGCAATTGAAGGAATGTAAGTGCAGAACTTTCTTTTTCAAAATTCTTTCATGTGAATGGTGAAAAGGGCTTGCTAGAATCGACTGATCTGTGACTGTAATTACAATCCTGCTCAATTGATTTCTGCAGTAAAACTGATGGGTATAGCGAAACAACTGTTACTGCAGGGAAAACTCATGAGGTATATTTAGTCATTTGCAGTGTTCTCAATTACTTGCATATTTGCTAGTGCTGCTATCCACAAACTAATGAACATACACTTTCTTTGTCTATGATTTTGTCAACCTAAGATTATCTGGGGTTGGCCAAGAGTCAAGTGTGGAAGATAGAGAAAGGAGAAGAAAATTAAGTCCGAATTTGCATTATCTTTGGTATTTTTCCTCACCTTCTGATAATTTGTTAAAAAGTAATTACCCAGATAACTAATGGGTAACGCAGTAATTGAGAAATGACATGGGTACAAGAAAGTCTCATCCCATTAGAGAGAATTGAGGATTTATACCGCCTTCAGCTTGAATATTAACTGAAACAATGTATAAGGTTTTTCTGTTTTTAACTTTCTTTGTCTATGATTTTGTCAACCTAAGATTATCTGGGGTTGGCCAAGAGTCAAGTGTGGAAGATAGAGAAAGGAGAAGAAAATTAAGTCCGAATTTGCATTATCTTTGGTATTTTTCCTCGTTGTATTAAAAACAGAAAAACCTTGTACATTGTTTCAGTTAATATTCAAGCTGAAGGCGGTATAAATCCTCAATTCTCTCTAATGGGATGAGACTTTCTTGTATCCATGTCATTTCTCAATTACTGTGTTACCCATTAGTTATCTGGGTAATTACTTTTTAACAAATTATCAGAAGGTGATGGTAAAAAGGACCAACTACACAAATATACCATAATCAATGCCCCGTATAGCTGTAGATATTCTATGAATAATAATAAATGGTATGTTGATTAAATTCCATTATTTTAGTTTAAACATATTTGATTACAAACTTGAATTTTGATTTTAACTTATTCATTAATATGGATTTGTTATAATTGATTTTAAAATTTTCTAGAAGCTTCATATTATTATGCGTTGTAATATATATAAATCTGAAAGTTAAATTTCAAATAATTAAGGCCTTCCCACAAGGTCACCAATATTTAAATTATACAATTCCAAAAGGCAATATCTTTTTTGTGCGTTTTCTTTTTACAGCATATACTGTTCTAGAACTTCGTGACTAATATTTTGTGCTTTCCCTCAAGGTTTCATTGATGGTGGAATCAGTAAACTCATACATTGCTTGGGATTTCTCCATAATGCAAGGGAAAATAAGCACGGTACTTGTCTTATACCTGTATGAAGATTTTAGCTGTCAAGTAAATTTCCTATTGTCTTCTGTATGTCAATCATGTACTTGTTTAGATCTTGATATACAAAGTCTTCTTCTTCATTTAGGTGTCATTGTAGGACTTCATAAATTCAATGTCCAATGTGCGTTAAGTTGCTGTTTCTTGTACTTTAAGGATGACCCATTATGAGCATGTGGTATATCCTCCATACGAGGGAAACTGCATAGATGTGCGGTCTTTTTGAAATGAATTTTTTTAGTATTAATAACTGAAATGTTGGAAGTGAACCAAAAAACTGAAGTCAGAAAACAGCAATGCTAGCTAAGTTACTCTGATATTTTAACTTTTCACTCGTCCTCTTCTTACTTCTCCAAAAGTAAGCCTTTCCCGTTGGAACTCCCTCAATCCCCTTATTCGTGATTCTTCCCCTCCTGTCCTTTCCCCTTCTGTAGAGAAAAAGGGATGGCCGTCTCACTTCTTTCTCTGTCCATGAGGTCTAGCTCTCCATCCGCCCCAATGAGCCGGATGTCGGGTGGCATCACATGGTCTGGTTCTCTTAAAACATCCCCAGACATGTTTTCGTTCTTTGGGTTGCCCTCAAGCAGCGTATGAAGACGCATGATAAACTTCGGTTCTGGGAGGCCTATTCTAACCTGTTTTGTGCTTTCTGCCTTAACGGGCCTGATTCTCATCAGCATCTATTCTTTGAGTGTCCTCTACTTCTCTTTTTATCTTCTCCAAGAGAATCATATACTAATTTCAAATTATTTATTTGTGGAACTTCACTTGGTTGCATGCATGAGCCTCTCTGGTGCATCTACCCTTTAGCCCTGTTCATCTTCCGTAGCCTCTATCTCTGAATCTTGACTTGATTTTGCTTTTTCTTCTACATTTCTCCAACTAACCCAACTTATTTCTAGGGAATATATGGCACATTTAATGGTCTGAATTTTTTTATTTAAGAGTCTCGATAAATGATAATTTGATGATCAAGCAAGGAAGTAGAGAAAATCCCGTCCCTCCCCTTCCTCAAACCACTTCATTGAAAAGGAGGATTTAATATCGTGAATTTGGAATGAGGAACCAAATGTAGGGCATCATGCATGGAGTGGTGGGAAGATTTTGATCCTATTAACTCAGTAAAACCAAATTGGTATGGGATTACTTCAGGTGGATGTGTCAACAACGGGATACTATTAGAAGTTATAATATACATATGGAGGCTGGAGTTGCAGACTTGCATTTGTTTGAGAAGAAACCGATGTAACACCATTTGAGATGGCTTGATCATCTTATGCATAATCCTTTGAATAGAAAGGTTAGACAAGAAAACATATCCCAACGGCTTTAGCCTAACAGGTAAGGAGGTGGGCATCTTTGCATAATGAGTTGGAGGTATGAGGTTCGACTCTAGGCATCACCCACCTGCACCTGGGACACACTATTTACCACCCCCATGATAGCTGAATGACTGGTATGGCGAGGCCGCTTCAGAGGGTGGCATTATATCCTTATTGCAAAAGATAAGTGAAAAGAATATACCAAAGGAGTAGGTTGAGATTCAATCCTTTACTGCAAATTTCTAAGCTGTTTATTTCACTTATATGACTATATGGTTTATTTCATTCATGTCCCGTAGCCCTAGGTTATACATCTGAAGTAATTTCCTATTAGGTTTCATTTTTCTCCTACCCCAGCTAATTAGCATCAAGAGGCTTGTTGATGCTGACCTAATCTCCATCCTTGGCCTATGTCAACACACTTGTTAACATAACTACGTTATTTTTGTTCATAAGTTTGATATTCCTGGTAAATTTGATTCTCACCAACAAATTATTTTATACTATTTGATCAAATTGTAAAGGTTTAGGGTTCAGGGAGGATGAACAGATGGGACTGTAAGCCTAAACTAATACAACATTCCATATACAAGGAATATAATCAGATTACCCGTGAGCCTAAACACATATACACAAATATATTCTAGTTGTTTTGATTGTCTCCTTGCACAAAGTATCTTTCAGAAGAGAAAATTACCATGTAGATATAATCAAATAAGAAAAATGAAATGACTTTACAACTCAATCAAAAGCTTTCCCTTCTCGGGAGTATCAAACAACCATTGATCACAACCAATGACTCCCTTCGCACTAGCAACACCTGGGAATACAAGTCATGGACTTGATTCAATTTTAGGGCAACAAGGAATTACTCTAAACTAGAATCAAGCATAATCTGAGATTCTTGTAATCCAACCAAAACGTCTATAAATGGACCAAGGCATGTTGCTATGTTATAATTCTGATCATTATCTTAAATTGGACTGCAGAATTACTTAATGTGGCACTACAGGTTTACACAAAATATGACGACAGAAAAACTTAATTTAAAACAGCCAACACTACAGGATGACAACATGAAGACGAGTACTATAAAACGAGTCGGAACAAGTGTCGAGAGTACAACCAAGTAAAGAGAGTAAGTCCAGCTGAAGACTAAATAGAACTGGACAGATGAACTCCAGGACTGAATTCAACTTCAAACAATCCTTGAACTTCCTCTATTTTCGAAATTATCCTTTAACTTTTTGTAAATTAAGAGACGATCCCTTTACCGCAGCTTCTTTTATTATGGACCTTGAACTCACTGTTAACTGCATAATACACCCTGAATTTTTTGTAAATAGTAGAATGCCAGAAAAATCTCAATTTTCTAAATTAGCATATGATCCTTTTAACTTTGTGAAATGATCCCTGATTTTTTCTGAATTTTTTTAAATAGCTCAACTCGTTTGAAACCATGTACTTAGCAAGAAAATTTTAAAAAGGAAAGGTAATAGTGAAATCGATCTGGAATAAACAATGATGAACAGAGTATACATAGAAAATGATCGTCTCAGTTGTAGGAACCCAACTGCAGCGACCACCAACTCAGTTCAGGGGATGACGTCCCTTTACTTGTTATACTCTAAAAGGTCCGAAAGGTTGATGAGGCTGTCAAAGACAGATCAAAACTGTCAAGAGGCAAGAGAAGTATTAAGGTTGTGATTGGACAGGAGGTCCACACAGGGGTTATGAGCTCTGGAAGAGCAGTGAGTCTATAGGGAGCTTCATTGAGGACTCAGAAGGAGGCCAGCTGTCCAGAATTACGAGACGTGTTGTGAATGTATCACAAAGTACTTAATGGAGCATCAGAAGCTGTGCGGGATTCTGATGCTGAAGGTGTTGAGAGGCATAAAGGGTCAATGGTTGATACAGGTTCTCATGGTCATACCGGAGGTCAAGGAGTCTCATCATCGTTTAGCATGACCAAATTAGCTCTGGAGTGACTTGCTGAATATCTCTGAAGGCACAATGAGACACCAACAATGGCCAACAGTAGTGGCGCTGGTCAGGAGCATCTGAGAAGCTTATCAGAGTTTTCGCTGTGTAAATTCTTAGAGGTTCTGCTATCTGGTTTGCACACATCTACCCTTCACAATAAACATGGAAGCCACTACCGTAAATACCTGTAATTTGACATTCAGTTTCAGGGTATATACTACAAAATCCTGTCTTCAACAAATGTTCATGTCTGGCTCATTGAACCAATGGACTGCCGAAAGACTGCTAAATGGAATAAAAGACTTTTGCACGTTTAATTATCATGAGTTAGGTCCAATAATATACAAAATAACTTTACAATCATTCCCATTTTATATTTGCTGTATGATTTGAGTCTAACTGTTAAGACTATCGTATCTATCTTGTTACAGGACATTGGGTTTTGCGTGGAGCACACAGATTCTGCTGGGCAGAAGACAGTAAGTTCAATTAGGGAAGTTGCATACTTTTTGGGATCAATATTCACATTTGTGCTTCTGTTCATTGGTTACCAGAGTTCTCCTGCCAGAAACACCCTCACAGGCTAACTATGTCTTTTATCTGTTTGATGGTTTTAGTTTCTATACATAGTTTTTCTACTTATGACTTGGTATTTTTCTATGTTGCATTCTTTTATAGCTTATCTTGCCATACCGACGGTACGAGTCTGATCAAGTAAGTATATAGAATGTTCTCGCAGCTTTTCTATCACCATCTAAATTTACAGTAAACTTATAGCATGAATGTCGTTTGCAGGGTAACTTTTGCACAGTTATGGCTGGCAACTACAGACTCATATGGGACAATTCATATTCCACATTTTTCAAAAAGGTTGGTTGGCACAATTTATGAAACTTACCATTTGTCAATAATGGTATTTGATTCTTACATTAGAAAAAGGGATACATGATTTGTGGTTGAGATTGGATCTCACAGTTACCACAAACTAATCAGTTCTCATTTGATTATATATATATATATATATATATATATACACACACACACACATATATATATATATATATATATGAAATGTAGTTGGCATATATAATATATATACATACGCATATATACGTACACACACACATATATATATATATATATATATTCATGTTTTATCCTTGATATGGTGATTGATGTTCTTGAAACAGGCCCTTCGCTACAAAGTGGATTGTATACCACCTGTTGTGGAACCAATTCCCGCAGCTGAAGCAGAAAAAAATATGTAACTTTAACCATATATGATTGTGCCACTACATACAAATTTAACTGCTGATTTGTGAAAAAACCTTCAAATTTGCAGCAGAGTGTAAACATGTAATCATAACCTTTTTACATGCTTTTGTTGTCTGCTATGAAAACCAATTTCTGGTGTTTAATGTCTTTACACTCGTTAATAGCAGTGTATCATCTAGTCATGAATCATTTTTCTGTTATGATAAATTAGCTTTCACAAACCCTATTTAACAAATGAAGAAAATAGGGATTTTAGAATAAATCCTTCATAACTTCCTCTAATGGAGAAAGTAGGAAAAATATGATAAAAATGCACACATGTGCATTGCTGTTGGAATATGGAGACGCATATCTTTGTTGATTGTGCACAGTGCAAATTGTTTTGCTCCCAAACAAGATCCTAAATGTTTTACATTATGTTTTCTTTCTTTCTCTTGCCCTTTGTTTTCGGTTCATCCCCTAGTGTTTCAGGATTATATATTTGTATACGTATGTCTTCTTTAGATGATCATTTGACTTTCAGCTTGAGTGTTATGGATGCTCTGGGTCTTGGAAGAGAAGTAGATAATGGACTTATTGCTGCTGATACTCATCAATCATCTCTAATTTTATGTGGCAAAGTCTTTTGTGATGCAAATGGTATAAAAGATGTTGAAAAATTATCAATGTTACATAGATAAAAATAATAAAGTTTTAATCTATATAAACAAGTTTAATTTTTTAATCCAAAAGATTATAAAAATTAAACCTTTATGAATAAACACGGTAACTTTTAATATCTGAAATCCAAAACACCCCAAACCGAACAATGTCACACAGATTGAATCTATCCTCGGCGATAAATTTAATGAAAGAAGGGAGTAGAAGCAGAGTTGTTCACTTAGTGAATAGAAATTAAATACAGTACATGAAAATCAAAACCAACTTGATTAAATTGTCGTTGAATCGGAATTTGCACGATAAACCTGTCCTTAAAGGTTTTATACGACCACTCTTATATGCTGTGAGTCTACTAGTGCCCTAGGATTTGATGTAGTATTGGGTTTCGTTTATCAATAGCTTTGATGACGAAAACAAAGGCAAGGTGGATGCAGAATGTTGGTAGAAAGAATCAGTTGAAGCAGAAAATTGAGAGAGGAAACTATTTTTGGTGTGTGTTTAGGGGTGGCTTCAACTCAGTATTTATATTGGTTGAAAACCCGAAACCCGTGATTTTTTATCCCCTAAATTTTGGATAATCATGGGTTAGTTGGAAGATAACACTTCAAGAATAAATATCTCCAAAAAAACGTGTTTAAATCGGTTTAAAAAACTGATTTTTATTATGTTTAAACACAATCCGATAGCTATCCATCTCTCCTAATCTGTATGAAAAAGATACTCGGGAGCTCGGGACGAGGCTCCTTCTGCTTCGAGCGAAGTGCAAAGTGCGCCTCCTCGCACCCCTTTCGTGAATCCCGCGGCCTCGGCCTCATGCACGGCCACATACGCGTGTGTGTGTGTGTGTGTGTTGGGCCTTCCACTCAAGACCCTCACCATAAGTCTACCAATTTGTTCAAAGCCCAATTGAAGAGAAAGCCGTATAAACCTCTTTAATCACTGTCTATCTACCAATGTGGGATGGAAGATAAACTTCCAACCTCATTAAAAATTTCCAACAATCCCCACCAGGTTGGAAAGTTTTATAGACATTCATAGTAGATAATGTTACAATGGTGCAATTGAAATTAAACCCTGTTTGATGTAAGTATGCAAGAAGGGATCAATTCAATGGTATCCTTAGGATTTAAACCTTGAATCTTGTGACCGCTCCAGCTTACTTACACACATCATCTATCATCCTTGCTCTCTCACTGAGCGCGAATATGGTCATGCGCTAAACCTTGTTTCATGACTTAGTAGACGAGGAACCACTACTCTTCGTGTGAGGCGCCACTAACTCTAAGTCATATAGGCAAAGTTCTATAACATCTTCGTTGCTAAGATGCCTCTAAACTTTGTTAAGAGATTGACTCATCCTTATTCTCGACAACGTCGTATTATTGTTCACCTCACATGGATCTATCAATTAGTACCTTTATCAATTAAATGACTTTTTGCTACCCTTTAAAATTGGTAGATAGAAGCACTATATCCAAGTTAGGTTTCCATCACTAACTGATTCTATATGGTTTCAGATCCATGTGTCTGGTAGTTGACTCTACCAATAGGGATGGCAACAGGGCGGGGATGGGGCGGGTTTTGTAATCCCCGGAACCAGACCCCGGTAGAACCCCGATCAAACCTCATGAAAAACATTCGTTAGTTTGAGTCTACTGGGGATCCCCGGCCCCGATTTGAGTAATATCCCCCGGCCCCAAATACTGGCTTGGTTTTAGGATGTAGAATCTAGATGAGACGGATCAACCCCTTTTCAAGTGATTCTAAATTGGTTCTTTTCAAGTCCAATCCCAAAGTATAGGGGTATTTTGATAATTTTATTAAGCAATACTCAAAGTATTGTTAAAATACCGATTCCCTAATCGTGAGGTCATTTTGGTAATTTGATAGGGAATAAATTTAAAATAACACTTAGATACCAATTCCCAAGACATTGAATCATTTCGGTAATTTATAGGGCGAATACGTAAAGTATCACTAAAATACTGATTTCCAAGTTGTAGGGTCATTTTGGTAATTTCATAGGGAATAGATTTAAAATAACACTTGCATACCAATTCCAAAAATATTGGGTCATTTCGATAATTTTATAAAGCAAATACGTAAAATATTGCTAAAATACCGATTTCCAAATTGTAGGGTCATTTTGGTAATTTCATAAAAATAATAATATAAAAATAAAGTTCATAGACCAATCACCAAGATATATGACTATTTCGGTAAATTTTGGAAGCAAATACGTAAAGTATTGCTAAAATACCGATTTTCCATTTAGGGTGATTTTGGTATTTAACGAGATAAATAATCGAAATGAGGTCAAAGTTTACATTTTACAAAATACAAACAAACTTAATAAAAGTCTCATAAAATTACTATGGAGAAAATTATTTCTGGAAATTCAAGGGACTAAATGCGAATTTTTTAAACTTAAATATTTAATGCTTATTAATAATATCAATGTATAAAAATAAAAAAACTAACAGCTAGCTTATTGGTTATTGCTTCAAAACCACAAGGATGAGGTGCGAGTTCGAATCCTGCTTTCAACACATTTTATTTTTATTTTTTTAAAAGTGTAAACGGACGCGGGTCTTGGGTCGGGCCGACCCGGTCCGTGACCCAGGGGGAAAAACAGCAACGAGACAGCAGCTATGGCTGCACCATTTTTACATTTTAAAGCTTGAAAATGGCTCATTTCTTGACTATTTTTTTTCATTCTTTTTGCGCCAAACTCTTGGTAATATTTTTACCAACACTTTGACATAAAGAACATGAATTTTCATCAAGAAATGAGTTCCATTTACTCATTTAAAGTTTTATTTTTATAACTAAAACTCAATAACTTAAAAACATAAAATCGAAACACATAAACACAAATATGAGACATGAGGCTACTGGGGGTTTGATAGAGTACTTAAAAACGAAGCTATAGACATAAAAATCAAAAGACTTGATTAATAATCTCACCCAAAATCGGTGAAAAACCGAGATTTTTGATTCCGAACTTCAAACTCAGATTTCTCTCTCAAAACTCAACGATTTTTCGAGCTATTTGAACCAAAATGATACTAAGCCGGTGTTCTATATTTATATACAAAATTATTGGCTAATTAGTTGACGAAATCGGAAGAAATCGCGAGGTTTTGGCTGATGGGTTGTTTTCTCCAAACAGTTATGTATTTTTGGCAAAACAGGTTCCTCATCTTTGAAAAAGATGACATTCGGCCCCCTCAAGTTTCTGACATTTACCATCAGACCCCTCCTGACGTAATATCTTACATTTTTGGTCCAATAATTAAAAGAGAACAATTTTATTTTATTTTTCTTTTTGTCTTTCTTTTCATTATTTATTTATTTATGATTTCTATAATTATTTTCTTTGATTAATTACGTAAATATTTTAACACTTCAAAAAAAATATTTAAACGATCATATAATATTATTTACATATATTAAAACAATGGGTTTTACAGCTTCGGAACAGCACCACCTTGACCAGACTCTATCTCCTCCGGGTGTGCCGAAGCACTACTAGAGACTCTACCCGTACCGCGGGTAGGTGTACTGCAACTACCTCGACCGGTAATCTGAGTATGCGACATTGTTGATTTTTCTACAAAGCAACATTAGAAAACATACAAACAATAATTCAAGTATACAATAAAAATTCCACACAATAACAGATGTCGAACAATGGTTTACTAAGATTTAAAAATGGAAATAATAAAGATTTAAAACAACTAGACAAAGTTTACTAATCATCTAAGAAGTGATCAGACA